CTAGAAATATGCCTGATTACCCAAAAATATATCGAAATTTATATTTGGAAAAGGAATTAGCTTAGACTATTACATCAGAAACAGGAGTATACATACTCATACACCAAGAAATAAATGCAGATTTTGATCACAATGTGATAGGGAGGCAACTTGTATTTATCTACCAAATCCAGCAGTCACAGTTCATTGTCACTAGTGCAGGTTGGTGAGTTTAAGGTTGGTCAACATTCCATGTTAAACTACAGCAATATCCTCATGAACATGAATTTGGAGAACTAAAGTATGAATTATTTTACAATGGTACTTAATTAAGTACAAATTTCATTCATTCCTTGAGTGCATAAGGCATAATCTGATAATTATCAACTAATTTTATGAATTTGCCATAGGCATTTCCACTGCAGGAAGAGAGACAGCTCTTAATATCATCATTAAATAGCTGGCATACATTCCAGAATTTCAGACGGATTTGTCCAACTACTGCCATCACCCACAGAACTTAGTTGGGAATTATGATAACAGAAACACAATTGCTTCAGTAATACAATGTTGATCAAAAAAATCATAAAAAGAATGAGAATGGAAATTAATAGAAAACTATAAACTGATAGGAAGCCAATACACATATATACCTTTGGGTTTGATTCTGTCTTGATAACTGATGCTTGAAATAGGTCTAGAGGATTAGTGGCATTCCAGTCTTGATAAGAAGCTGGAAAATCTACGCTAGATTTGCACAAGAGAAAAAAAAAAAGGAAAAAACATTATAATGAGAAATCAAGCTAATAAGTTATAAAGGATAAAGCTATGGCAGGTAAAACAGCAAGTACCAAATTAAATTAGCAGTTTGCTAATATCTTCTACAAGCCATTTTGTTATAGAGTAAATTGCAATGTTGCTTATGCTAAAAGTTTCAATGGAAATATATAGTTGAATATATTCTTTCCTGAATGAAGAGAGCCAAACTTTACTGTAGTGTCTTTCCCTATATCAAAATATTCAATCAAGCGTTTTCAAACTTACCACGTGAATAATATTATTTTCTAACTAGAACATATCAGCATTATAGGCACCAAAATACAACAAATCCTCAAGTAGTAGCGCTAAGCATAAGAAAAGGAACCAAAATAAAATGATCACATTTTTTGTTTTCAACGTATCAAGGAGAATAAGGACCTGAATACATGTCCAATAACTGAAGTCACTTTGAAATGAGCATGAAAGCCAAGAAAAGGCCCATTGAACTCATGGACATCTGTACTGCCCCTCCTTGTCGTCATCTGACAAACGTAATACAACTTGTAAGTAACTAACAAGTATTCAATATTGAAAATGAAAATTTGTCATGGAATTCACTAAAAGGACAATTGTGCATGAACCAAAACATGAAAATGCTTCACGATTAGTTCTAAAATGAAATTGATATAAAAAGAGAATGGAAAAGATGAGGGATTCAGCATTGTCTTCCAACACATAACCACACTATGCGTGTAATTTGGTAACTGCAAAAGGTGTTACTTCAACTAAATGTTAGTTAGACCAAATCCAACCAACAAAGGGGTACTAAATTTTCCAAACAGATTACCGTTTATTCAGTACAGAAGCTTACAAAGGTAGTTTAAGAAATAAAAAGAAAAAGGAGAACAAAACCAAAAAGAGAAAAAACCTTACTAGGACGAACCAAGCATTTAAATTTGAATTGCTATAATTTCAAATCTAGCAATCAACCTGTTTCTTCAGGACAATTCTAACTTTATTACCACTTTTTTATTTGAAAGATTAATAAAGTTCAAGACTTTTTGGATAGCAGTCAAGGACTTTTTGACACACATGATGCTGCAGGTCGCTAGCCAATAGTGAACTAGGAGAAGGGGTTGCAGAGTGACTGTAGATTTAAATCCCAGATATGGTAGAAACTACCTCTTAAGGAGTGATTACGGATGAATCTGAAGCTAAACCCGAAATTCATAAAGGTTTCAAGGACTTTGCAGTAACTTGAGTAGCTTTAAAATAAACATTAATTGGGGAAGCAATTAATGTTTTCATAAACGTTTGAAAGAATTTTTTTTCTCTAAAATTCTTTTTTTTTTTTTTAGCAATATCTGCTTTCACCTTGTTTGGCACATAGATAGTCATAAAGCCAATGGTCATAACATCAATAACGCAAAGATGAATCTTTTAAGGTTTAAAATGTAAAAAATTAAAATTTTCAAAGTAAAAAATTGCAATACCAACAAAACTACGAAGGGCTTTTCTCAAAATAAGAGAGAGTTTAAGCATACTTGGCCATGAGAGAGTACAGAAGCAATGGAGAGAGCGATGCTAGGCTTCCCGCAACCTGCAAAACAGTGAGAAAATCAACTTAAAACGAAGAAAATATATTTATATTTAATTTTAAATAAAAAAGAATAAGAAATTGAAATTTTTAAAGGGTTTGTTTGATTGTTTTACCATGAGAATTTGGGAGGAGGAGACATTTTTCCAATTTCCAGTTCCACTTTTCTTTCTGGGGTTTTGGCTTGTTGCTTCAATTAACATACCTGGGAAGTAAAACGACTCAGTTTTGAGTTAAACGACATCTGGTCTTCCCCGTTCTCTCTTTTCCATTTCTCCTTTTTTTCTTTTTCTAATAAAAAATTAAGAACTTCTATTTACACCTCATAATTCACTAATTATAACCTAAATTTAAACTCGAAATCCAAATATTTAACTTTTTGAGAATCGAAGCTTTAAATTATATCTCAAAAAGTTACTTATAAGTGCACCCTTTTTTTTTTATACCAATATTTTTTAAATTAGATAAAATTATTTAATTATCTTTATTTTTAATTTAAAGATTTCGAATATACATATTCGATAAATTTATAATTCATCAGGTATATGCACATTTAATAAATTATATGATTTATTAAATTTTAATATCTGATAAATTTATTTAAAGTTTAAAAAATCAATTAAAAAATTTTCATATCTTTAAAAATTTTTATAAGTTTAACTAGAACATATTTATAAGTTTGTATTTTTATAAGTTCCAAAAACTTAGAGAAATGAAAATCTATAAAGCCTTTTAAATTTATAAAAAAAATCCATAAAACCTTTTTAATTTATGAAAATTTCATTTTCGTAACACTCGATGAAAAAAAAAACTTCATGAAATCTAAGAACTAAATCAAAATAAAAAACATATTATCTTCAAATTGAAGTTTGATGATTTGATTAACTCCAACTTTGAATGGTTGAATTGTAGGATTTGAGTGCTAAGGGATAATCAATTTAGGGAGAAGGAAATATGTGTGGGTGTTTGAGAGATGTGGGGTGAGAGGTAAAGGATGTTTAGGGAAGTTTGTAATTATTGGTAAGTGTATTAAGTAAAAATTGGTTTTTAAATTTTCAATGTTGGATGTAGAGAAAAATAATTAAGTAAAAAACAAGATTTGCTCACATTTACATAAAGTTGTGTATAAATACTAATTCTTTTTTAATTTTTTTCTTTGATTTTATTTATCTTCTATTTTGATATATTTAAATTTAATGTTATTCAATTGACTTTATTATTGTTATCAGCTTGAGTTCCTTTTGGTTTTTTGAAGTTTACATTCTTATTGTTTTATGACCTGAATTGCAGGTGATGAATTTAAAAAGAAGTTAGAAAATGTAGGCAAACAATCTAAGTCATCTAAGGATGAAGACTTTTGATGTAAGAACTCAATGCACTAAAATCTAATGATTGCAATTGTGTGAAAACCTTGTAACAGCCAATTACGAATTATGTTGGTAAAGTATTAAATTTTTAATTTTAATGATTAGAATTTGAATCCTATAACTCCTAAGTATTAAAAAAATTACGGACAATCCTACCTGATAATAAGCAATGGATTTGAGTGGTTTCATAGACTTGATATTGGGATAAAGTAATATTGAAACTGTTATTAAAACTAGAGGATGATGAGGACCATGGAGTTTTTTATCTATAATTAATATTCTTTACGTAGGAAAATACCAAGGTGAAAAGTTATTCAAAGCAAAAACATAAAATGCTTTTGGGTGCTTCTATTTGCATTCCTATTTTTTCTCTTCACATCCAACCTTTTTTTTTTCAAATTTGTCTTTATATAAAATACTTAATTATTTTTTTCTCAATTTAAAGTCTTCAAATAGGCATGTCTAGTAAATTTGATAACTTATCGAATATGTATATTTAGTAACTTATCATATTATCTAATTTTCTTATACAATAAATTAAAAAGAGTTATATTTAGGGTTTATGAAAAATTTTAATTGAAAAAAAAAATCTCATATCTTGAAGAATTTTCACAATATTGCAAAGAAAAAACACAATTTGTTTCAATTAATTGTAAGCTCATTTATAAATTGATAAAAAAAAATTATGTATGTGAGTCATTAGATTTCTTCTTAATTTCAACGATCTAATATAGAAACTTTTAAAAACTTATGAATTTGCAAATCCAAAAGCTTTTAAAAGCTTTCAAATCTGTAAATTTGAAAACTTAAAAGTGAAAAAGGGTTTAAGAAAATGTAATTAAATAATTTTATTTAAAAATAATTTTTTAAAAAAAGTATGAAGGAAAAAATTGGATGTAAATAGAAGCTCCCAATGGATATTAAAGCACTATAATGCTTTTTCTAGATATATAAGCATTTATTTATTGACATTTGTCTAATTATGGTAATAACTATTTTATCTTTTTTATATTATATAATAATCATTTAATCCTTTGAATATTATGAGTTGATCATTGTACTTTTTATTAAAATATAAATAATTAAAAATTAAAAAATTATTGAATATTATAAATTGATCATTTCACCATTTATCAAAATAAAAATAATTTAAAACGTAAATAATAAAATATTAAAAACAACATATGAAAAATAAAGCAAAAACAAAAAAATCCCATTACCCCAACCACCATAAATCACAGTACTAAAAACAAAAAAAAAAAAACAAAAAATCCACCAAAGTCTCATTATCTGAACCCTCAACGACTCTCACAACCATCAGCCACTGCCACACTAACTTAAGCAACCAATTAAAAAGTGCGACCATAATAGAAAAAAGTTAGACTAAGACCTAATACCTAGCCAAAAAAAACACAGGTAAAACATAACGAAAAAACCAATAACCAGCATCATTCCCTTAATAAAAAAAATCACACAAGCAAAAAAAGAAAAAACAACAATAAGAAAAACAAAACAAAATAAATACAAGGAGTTTTGGTTTTTAAGAGATTAGGGATGTTTCGGGGCTTGAAAATTAAAAGAAACAAATGGCAAGGGATATGGATAAATATAGTAGAAAGTGTGGCTATTTGGACCGATGGAAATAGGTGTTTTAAAGGTTTTTATATCGCAGCTTGGGTTATAAATCTAGACTTTTAGGCACTTATTTTGAAAAACTCGAGGTTAGAACAATAACGAGAAGATTGAAAAGAGTTTATGGTAAAATTTTGGGATGAAAAAGAGATTGACACACAATTTTTGATAATTGAAAATCACTTAAAGAGAAGTTTAAAATTTTAGTGAGAGAAAAAAAAGAAAAATGAAACAAGAAAAAGATTGCCTTTTAGGTAAAAGAAAAACAGACCATTGATCTGGTGAGTTGTGATTGATTTGACTCGATTCAAAAAATTTTAAATGAGATTTTTAGAAGATTTAGTATTTTTGGGTCATCAAATTTGGATCTTTTTAAAAAATAATTTATAAATTTTTTTTACCAAAGTTTATAAATTTATTTTAATAAAACATATAATAAAAAGATTTTATTTATACTACTATTTTATATTATAAAAACAAATTAAAGCATAAAATTATGCTTAACTAAGATTAACTAATGCATTTAAAATATTTTTATTTTATATGTAATATACTTATTGTATAAAAAAAACTATGTAATGCATGAAAATTATATTTATGTTTTTTTTTTTTTATTAAATTTTGAAAGATGAAGTTTTTTACTAATTAAAACAGATTAACTTATTAACTCAAGTGTAGTTAGAGTAACAAACTAATGGATAACCAAAGGCATTACTTACTTTATGGAGTCGATATTTTTTAATTAGCTTTACTTTTTAATCATTTACTCATTTTTTTTCTTATATATAAAAAATTTAGGATGAAAGGAAACTTTTTCATTCCAAGTCCATAGCAAACTATATGTTGTAAAGAAATTTTTCACTAAATTTACAAATCATTTAAAAAATAAGACTCATTTTATTCATTTCAATAAATATGATTTTACTTTTCATTGGTTGCTTTTACTATA